ATGGGGGACGCTAAATTGACCAATCAGAGCGCGCGCTTTGCTTTGGTTATGTTATAATGACCGTTAGTAAAAAACCACTAAGCTCCAGACAACATCAATGCATAAGAGATAGAATCGATGCAACATCCCCGTTAATTTTTTTTTTTTCGGGAATAGAGGTATCCCGACGATCTCACATTTTGTATCTTTATGATTCTTCTTTTTAAGCGAACCACAATGTCGCTGGTGAGAGGAATAAAAAGGAATAATAAAAGTTTTGCGCATATCGCTGTCTGATAGCTGTATGGTCCCGTATAATATTAATTTTAAAGGCTGACTCATGTATAGTGTTGTCTTTCTTCAGTATTGCATGTCGTTTCTTTAGACAGAGAGAGAGAACACGTTGTCACAAGCTGTTCAGTTTTCGGGTTCAATTCAGGTATTCCATCATATTTTTTACCATTCTTATAATACCATTATTTTAATTAGTACTCTCAATAGAATCTCTCCATACTTAGAAATGAGATAAAGATATCTTTTATGGTTGACATTATGGAGAAAATTGATACCCAGTGTGAGTGAAATGTTATTTAGTTACATTCGGTTGGCTGTAAAATGTTGTTTCGTATTCCATCTATTTGATAATAATGAATGGTTATTGTTGTTGTTCTGCGCTGACAATTTATTAATGAACTGATGCTAGTTTTTCATGTGTTAGACCATCTGACCAAATTTTACGTTATATTATGCTCATCTTCGAGAGTACATGAAATCGATTCATCTTTCATTGAAATGGTAAGTTTTTGTTTTGCTAGCGAGGATTAACTAACCACGGTTCTAAACAACTCCATTTATTTCACAAGTTTTCTATCAGTCACTGTACTTTTCACGAGGGAAGTTGAATATGGTTCAAAATCTAAATTACAGCAAATTATGTTAGTGATATAATAAACAGTTATCCCTTACAATCAAACAAAGATATTTACCCAGTGGTATCTCGCAGTTTCTCGCAATTCCTCATACTAGCAAAATGACACAAGTGCGTAATCGTGTCTATGACGTCACCTAACAAATTCTAATTACAAATTGTTGGCGATACAGTTTTCTAATTTTGCGTGAGTACATAAACAATGAAGATTGTGAATCGCTCTGCACGAACTAATGGAGTGAAGTCCTTCTCTTATCTTTGAATTCCGACAAACCCGTTGTCTAAATCCATCATTTTGTAAAATAGCAATGCATTAGGCTACATCATTCAACACCCAAAGAGGCTTATGGGTAGTGATACACGAGGAAGACACTACTGACTTGAGATCGTCATTGTTGAAATTTTTAGCTGATTGAAAATGACAGAAGAAGATCATGGAAGCTATTTTGACGATCGTGAAGAACAAGAGCCAATCAAAGTGTCAGTAACTTTCAAGCCACGGGAACCAGACATTGACGATAGACAAGACAATTCGGAGTTGAATCGAGTTTGCAATATAGACAAGCCTTGCTTACGGGACCCCCACAAGAATGAAGATGATTATAATGATTCCGAAGCTGAGGAACCTAGCCTGCCTGCTAACCCACCAGTTACACCAATTCCGTCGTATCTGGACGCTGATAATGCCAAAAGCGAAGGGAGTAAAAACAAACAACAAGAAGTATTGAAGGTAGTAAAGAACAAAGAAAAAAATGGATAGTGAAAATGAATAAATAAATAAATTACGCAAATAACGTTTAAAAGTATTTGAATTCAGAAGGAAACGTCATCTTCGACCGGAGCATGAAATTCGCATTCAATGACAGTTTTGACGCTTGATGAGCGAAAATTCGTTTGAAACGTTCCATTCACTACGCCCAAAGATACGGATGATATTGTTACAAGGAATTAACCATTGGCTCTTGAAAGGGTTATAAAATGAATGTTACTCTAGAGGATTGATCATAACCTCAGTTCTGTAAAACAATTGGATATAATCTGAACTCATTTTAGATTTATTTAATTCGCGTGTTTATTCCAAAACAGAATCGAGCTACGGCCGGTTCATACTGCTTATAGAGGCATTTTCTAACTGTGGATTTGAAGAACGTGGAAAGAAAGAAATTTTGCAACAGAAAGCAGATGATCTCCATCTGCTCCCAAAAGCTAAGCTTGGTCTTTAAATGCTTCCGTTAAAAATATCCTGACGAAAGCTACATGAGAAAATGATGGACGAATTCCTGAACACTAGTATAATCTTGACTTTGAACTTTTGTGTCCCAGGTCACGCGCATGTTTGGAAAAAAAGCCTTTATTTCTTCTCTCCCTAGGGATGGAAAGGTTACAGTAATAACATCTACATTCGGCCGATCATTGTTAACCACGCCTCCTGCGGAGAATGTCAGTGTCTAGCTAATCAAAGAAAACAGCGTAGACTCACAAACGAGGATCTACGAAAACAGATGCGTCTCCGAGAGGCAAATAACTGGATTAAGAAACACAACGAGAGAATCCAGAGCACTGGAACATTACGATCCAAGCCTTTTTCACATGAACTACAGAGACAGCAGAAAGCAAAACAGATTCAAAACAAACCAAAAGACGACGGCAATACAAAATGTAAACAGAAGAATGAAAAAGTCCACAAGGGATTTGTTTGTAGCACATGGGCTTCACCTTTCTTGTCAAGTGACGTTCAGAGGAGCGAGGACGACGAGTTCATTCCGCTCTATGTGCGAAAATACGTGGATGATTTAAAATCGGCCCCTCCTGGCAGAATAAGAAGGAATACTTCGCTTTTACAGGAACACAAAACATTCTCAGAGGCAGTAGTAACCCCGAGGGATGTAAATGATCCGTCGTCAGAAAATTCTTCCCGTGCGTTGAGTAGAATCGAGGTTCAACTGAAAGAGAAGCTCTCCCACGGTGAGTCTTATAACAGGAGTACTAATGAAAAACCTAACTCTCCGAATATGGAAAACATTTCCCACGCCTTAATCTGCTCTTGTGGACAGATTATACACCATGATAACGACAAGCGCGTTCTTGGAGAAGGTTTCCAAACCTCGAAGTCCATACGAGCTGAGAGAGTGCGGAATACCAAATCGAAGTTTACCGTTGTTCTTCCAATAAAACAGTTTCCTCCCATTAATCCACTCGAGGAACTGAAGAAACCAGATTTTCCAGCAAGGAATTCGAAAAAGCGAGGGGTCTCACTAAACCGTCGACCACACACAGTAAATACAGCGCTTCTGTCCAGAGGAGTCATTTTGGTAAATGGCCATCATAACTTGCCAAATTTTATAGGTGCAAACAAAGCTTTTAATGGACAGTGTAGTGGTCAATCCACCTCTAAATCGTCTTTTGAAAATCTATGCAAGGAGAAACAGTTCTGCTCTAGAGGAAGGCAGAGGCATGGATACGAGCAAGACGGAGGATTCGATGAATCTATCCAACTGATGCCTTGGGGCTTCAGCAAAACTGCTAAAGAAAGCGGGAAATCTCAGTGTGTCTTAGATAAGGAGCCTAACGATCGAGAAAAGTGCGGTCGACATCGTTCCTTGAGTGATCTACAAAGAGTGCCGAAGTCTCTCGACGAAAATAGCAACAATTTATATCAAAACAGTACAGATTGTTTAAAAGGACAGCGGCGTTGTGTGAGAACACCGCTACACTCATTAAATAGCGAGGATGACGATTCCAAACCTGATTCAAACGAAACTGGCCTAGTAGGGAGTGAAATTGAATATTCTGTCGATGGTTTGGCAAAACTGGATGTTTATCTTCAACCCAGAGACGTGCATTTTAATGAGAATTGACAAAATTCTATCTTTTCCACAACTTTTTTTCAAGAGAGGCGCCACCTTGAGTTTAAATATCAATAAGAATTATGTTACTTTAGAATTTCTCTTATCTCACGCACTAACAGAGGCATATAAGCTTAGTAAAGTTAGATAGGATAAAACAAATGAGAAGCGGTTTTTTAGTTTCTGGACCTTTTATTTTATTTTGTGACTTTTAATTATGTTAAAAGTGGATTATTTTCCGTATGAAACGAAACACACGATCAAACTGGTCTTTAAAATGATTGTAATAGGTCAGTATGTGAATAAGTGGACCAGTTACACAGTTTTTCCTGACAATAGGCACATAGAGATCAGTTACACTCTATACTTAAGATGTGCATCCCAACCGGGGGGGACTGGTAATACTCCCAATCGATTCATGCTCCAGCTAAATGTGCCACTTGACTCAAGTGCAGACCTTTTTTTACCTTACACTTGTTGGTGATGCTATTCTTAAGTCCTGTTGTCATGTCAACGTAAATTTACACAAACATCAATTCGTTGTAGACGGAACCGTGGTCATAAACAAAGTCTTTAAGATGGTCGGCTTTCCTTGCGTTGCTGAGCTCACAGAGGCGAGATGATGCGTTGAAATTGAACGAGTAACACAAGCTGTGTTTGATACACATTAAAGCACATTCCAGATCGTCCGATGTCACGCGTGACACTACAGTATGCTGAAGGAGTGAGTGTTGCGTGATCACCGGATGGATAATTGCATTTGAGGTTCTGGCAACTTGAAAATAAAACAGCAGAACTATTGTTAGGCTGAAGGGAAAATACAAAAATTTTATCGCAGTTTTTCTATATTAATAGACGCCATGACTGCGCGTCAACTAAGGTCGCCAGACCTTAGTCATCAGCACTCGTGTGGCCATTGGTTCGAGCACTGAACACGATACGGAGAATGATGAGTAGGTCCACACCTGGGACTTTGAGTCCTTTATTCATCACAGATCCGTCATCGTAATTTTATATATTCACGCGAACATTTTGGGGTAATTAGTTATAAGCAGCTTGGAAATATTTGATCGGGTGGTCTGAATGTCCGGGGAGGAAATTAGTCCTGAGAAGGAATGTTGTCAATGGTAGTGACTGACACTCCCAAGTTAAACGACAACCTGAGCTGAAGAGATCACAGCAACAGTCCTTTTTTAGTATTGGTTCAGTCCCTCGTTTTCCCATGTCTGGATACATTACTAATCAATTTTCGCTGATCACTCATGGGTTGTAACAAATTCGCGAGAGAAGAAAGTTTCCAACCTGTCCGCTCCTCTGTTCAGATTCTCCAGTAACGACCTTGTAACCTTTTGATCTTTCACCGAATTAGAGTATGCGTAGTAACAGAGGTCGAAATCCATTTTTCAAAAGTTGATTTGGTTAAAAAAGGGAAATGGAAAACAAACGCGTATCTTCACCAACGAGGGAGGGATGGGGTGGGGGAAGGGACTGGGGTGACTCACCTGCACAGAGAGCCAATGCAACCTCTGAAGCTTTATCCGAGGGTAACATTTGCCGGACTGATGAGAAGAGAAACACGTAGTGCTCCATAGAAACCATGGATTTTAATTCGGTCATTTTTATCCCAGAGCCTATTCCTAAAGCAAAGATCAATATTCCGTCGTCTTTTAGGTATTGAGCTTGTTGCTTTGTTTCCGATTCACCTGAGATAAACACAACAAGTTATTACCGAGAAACAAATGAACTGAAACACATTCTCATGAGTCGATAAAAGTTTATCTTATCCACAAGTAAATATTCTTGACAGTACATAGAATAAGGAAGACGGTGAATTTTGAGGTCAACCGTCCAACAAAGGAACAAGTTCTTCGTATTGTCACAAGGGCGGAGCAAAGAACTGAAAGACTGGTCACTAGTCATCGCCTGACGGTGAGGGGGAGGGTTGGAGCTTGGGTATCGGAGGATTTAGTTGCGTGACGGTAAAATTTACCTGATCCTCCTTTAAGACTCTGTAAAACTATTATGAACTTCCCCACTCCTCCCTCATTAGCAGTTGATTTGCAGTCAATTTTCTATAGTTCTCCCTTTATACTCTGTTGGTGCCGACTGACCCTAAGGCGTCAAATAGTGACAAGCCCCTTGGCTATGGCCTTGTTCACGATCGAGTTTTCTTAAACTCATTGCAGAAGCATCGACGTAAAACCAGAAGGTCTGGGGTTAAATCCCTCGAGTTAGACTCACAATTTTTTCTTTGTCCCTCGTTCGTGATAAAATGAAAAACAATTTTTTATTTGTCCATTTTTTCCTCACCATCTTGGCTTTTTCCATCAGTGATCACTAACAGAACGCGGGCCATATTCGTCCTCATCCCGCCCTGTGCAGAGAACAACTCCGCATAGGTTTTTATAAGGCCCAGGTCAATGCGTGTGCTACCGCCGTGGTAGGAAATATTAAGAACAGACGATTTTATTGCGTCCACGGTTTGCTTGGATGTGAAGCTTATCTCTGTGCGCGCCTGGGTACTAAAACTGACCACCCCTACGTGTGTGTCTGAGGATAAAAAAAGAAAGAAATTATCTTAATTCAGTAATTTCCTAACCAGCTGCTACAAGTCCACTGTTTAACAAAGGAAATAATAATAAAAGAGAATTTCCTTTCCGTTGCTTTCGTAACAAGGTGTTCCAACTTCACTCCTTAATGAAGGAAGCTCGTGAAAAACTGTTTGTCAGACGGTAAAGGAACACCGATGAGGTTGATAAACCCAAGAGGAAATGAGATGGCAAAGGATAATTTCAAGGACCATGTGTTTTTCGATCTGTAAAAATATTTTAAAATTTTTAAAAATGAAAACCACGTGAAACTCTCTGCTGCGTTTTTCACAACAGATAACTACAGAAGTATATAACCTAAATAGATCATATGCTTCTAATCACTTTAATGCACAAAACATGTTTTAGTCCTAAAGAATTGTCTGACTGGTGTAAGATGACTTAGATCATTCAGTACTGCTGGAATCTTAGAAGTCAGTAAAAGCAGTCCGCTCGCCCTAATCCCTCGAGGCGCCCAGGGGGATTAGTGCGAGTAAGCAATTAGCCCTCAAGATTTTGAGTTATCTTTTTAACTGTAGAATCAGAGCAGGTTGAGAAACTTGCAATAACGAGACTGCTCAGGTCCTAAATAGTTTAGTAACTAACTGAATTAAATCATCTTTGCTCACCTTTTGGAGAAACTTTAAAATGATCAATGACTTCGTTGATAAACTTTTTCATGTCTATATAACTGCCTGATTCGATGCTGCTAGATGAATCAAGAAGGAACGCCACATCCATTGCAAAAGGACAGACTGATTAAAATAAAAGTGTAAGCTAAAATTTTCAGCCAAAAAGACGATTACAACAACAGTAGCAACGGATGCAATAACGGCAATTTTACAATCTTTGCTATCATTTCTATTTTCAAAAATTAAGAAATGGTAAACACAATAGCGTTCAATATTGAGTTATGGATGCACGCGGGAGGTTGCTAAGCACGAAGTAAGCGTAAGAGTCACGCGAGGCGATAGCGGTGAGCGACTTTAGCTTCTTGAGTGCTTAGCAAACCTCCCAAGTGCATCCATAACTCAATAGTGTACACTGTGACGTTTACCATTTGTTTTATAACATAACATTGATACATTGTAACAAGAGTTTTCTTATATTTAACAAATCTTACGTGACCAGAAAAAACAAGCGCGCTCGGAAAACTAGTCTTTGCATTTGCTTATGTCAGCAGCGTACACCCATGGGCAAATGCTGGACGCTGGATTGACCTATCAGAGCGCGCGCTTTACCTTGGCTATGTTATAAAAGAAAATACTGATTTAGCTGTGTATTTTTGGACTTCTGCAAGAGCAATTAAAAGATCGGGGTTAGCTAGGACGAAAACCGGATGTAGAAAGCTCTTTCTACATAGAATTATGAGGTGTTCCTGCCAACCGTACTTTCAAAATTCTCACATTCTTTGGCCCTAGAATTGACTCAGTCCAAACTCGGCTCCGTTTTACGTTGCCTCGATTTCAGTAGCTGTTGATCGAGCCATTCTCTCAAACGGGAAATTCTTACTTCCGTAATTGTCACATGAAAAGTTGAAATTACCATGGACAAGAAAAAGAAGATATGAATGAATAATTCATGATATGAAGACTTATGCAGTCTCTGATCAAGAAAGAAGGTTCTGTTGACTACTAAAACAATTTGTATTCGATGTCTGTCTTGTCTAATTAGATGATGGCCACAATTTGTCGACAGGAAGCTCGAACCTTGTACAAAACTTATCTAACAAGAGAAGGGTTTTAATTCTTATGTATTGATTGGCGTTACTTGGTTAACATTATCTTAAATTTGGGTTGGAAAAATTTATTGATAAAACAAATATATTTCTCTATTTCCAATGATTCCCAAAGACGAGACAGCTGTTTTTAGACTTCCACCTCTTTGTCTTGTCGTGTAAATTTTTAGGCTCCAAGGATGCGGGAACATAATCCATCCTGAATATAAAAATGTTTTTAAAACCATAAGCTGATTCTGGATATGTTGAAAAGATGAATCATCCCACCTGCAGCTTGCGTGGTAAGAAATGAAACCTGGAGCTGCGAGAGAAGGGGAAAACAAAAGTAGCTTATTCATGTAGTTCATCATTACATCTGTAAGTCTCCCCAAACTGAAATTGGTGATGAGAGCGCCACGAGAAATTTTATGAACTCGATTAAGTAGTTTCCTTGACAGGTGTTCACTAAACTCCTCCTATTACGACACAGAAAATTAGAAATCTCCTGTTTACCGCCAGGCGAGATGGCAAGCGGCTTTCTCGGTGATCCCAATAGAGAACGATGTTCATAACAGTGCGTTGCTCCAAGGCTTGCTCTTCCGCACTCAGCTTTAATTAAGTCTCCCAAAACTTGTTCTAGTTCAAGACCTATCATAATCAACTAAAAACAAGTCATGCTAGTTTTCGACAGAAAAAGATGTTTAAACAGTATTCGACACACTGCGACTCCGTTCGAAAGATCATTAGTCCGCACTGTTTTGGTTTCGACTTGACTGAGCAGAAAAAAAAAAGAGAAAAATATTGATAATCAGTTTTCTTTTCTTCAATTGTCAGCTTCAATGAATTCCCAAATTTTTCCATCGCTAATTAAGATTAAGAAAATATTCAATTGCTACCTCCCTTTACTAACCTGCAAAAGGAAGACGGCCTTTTTCACAATCATGTTTGGTTCTTGTTCTTGCATTTGAACGGATTAATCAATGTTCACAAGTTTCTAGCAAAATTAAATAAACACATTAGTGGCTACCCTTTGTGCCGGAATATTGCAACTCAGTTCAGCTGTTTCGTATCAAGAAAACCAAGAAAGGCGTTTTAAAAGGTGTGAATTGAAAATTCGATGTTTGTGCAAGCAAACTGGACACCTATCAATTTCGCTTGCGACAATTCATTTAGCTTTCTATGACGTATCAAGTTAGCCCCTCACGCGACTTCCTGGAGTCGAGGCTGTTGTGCAATGTAAATCAAGATGGCGGTCGCCTTGTCGAGAGGTATATTGTTTTTGTTGATTGTTTGCTTAAAAGACTGATTGATTTTGACTCTAATTCTTGCATTATTGTATTTTTAAAACGCTTAGATATTTGGTCGCCCTTTTTGGTGTCAATTTGAGCGGTGAATTTAGCTTATTGACGAATTATTTGACGTCGTCTGATTTTTGACGTTAACAGCCAGGGTAACTTACGTATTGCATTCGTATAGATTGCTTTTTTTTTATTGAAGATGCGCGGTTTATAGGTTCATATACAGAGTCATTTATTTTCGTTAAGCATTTAATTGGCAATGCTGTTATCCCTTTAGCTAGTGGTATAACTTTAATTATCTTAATTTGTCGGTAATTTTATGCCTACTTGTGTAAACTACCTACTATTCAATGTATAAAGCCTCTTGGGTTTTTCAAAGGGTTATTATCCCTTTAGCTAGTGGTATAACTTTAATTATCTTAATTTGTCGGTAATTTTATGCCTACTTGTGTAAACTACCTACTATTCAATGTATAAAGCCTCTTGGGTTTTTCAAAGGGTTATTATCCCTTTAGCTAGTGGTATAACTTTAATTATCTTAATTTGTCGGTAATTTTATGCCTACTTGTGTAAACTACCTACTGTTCAATGTATAAAGCCTCTTGGGTTTTTCAGAGTTAGTAGAGGAGACTGGTCCCCTCTACTAACTCAGGTTTTTTGAATGTATACACCATAATATAAATAATGCTCTACACGATAACTGATGTTGGGTGGCACTGATTGAAATTTTTGGGGAAAAAAACTATTCAAACTTTAAGTTTAAGAGGATTAAGCCTGAAAGGAACAAGATTGTTTTTGGGAAGGCGCGTGCTCTCATTCTTACACTCCAAAGATAATTATATATATCGTATTAACTAAGTGCGAGGGCTGCACTGGGAGAATATTGGCCCGAGGTCTTGACAGTACGGACTGAGGGCAGCAAGGTCTGTACATAAAAGACCGAGGGCCAATATTCCTCCAGTAAGGTCCCGAGCAAGCTTGGTTGATAAGAGATTTATTATACAACTGAAGTTCAAAGGGACACAAGTGCGGTATCATTTGGGACCATTCGGGACAGTGCCCGGTCTAATACTGAGAGAATATTGACCAGCAATAGAGCATTTTGATTGGTTGATTTTAGTTGTTGGCCCTCTGACTGCCCAAGTCATGTAATGTGTCAGTTTTAATACATGAACTCTTATGTTTTAGTGGCATAATCTTATCAGCAGACAGTCAGTGCTCTTCATGGGGAAAAACATCTTCACTTATGCATATAATATTATCTTCAAGAGAAATTATGCTGTTACTGGAATACTTCAGTGTTGTCTCCACACTTCCTGCTTCTGAGGGAAAAGAAAACAACACTGTTATCTGTTTCATTAACTCATCTGTTCTTTAATGTCAGGTCGCAGTGGTTTGCCCGCTCTAAGCCATGGATTGTTCAACAGTGTTATGCTTTGGAGGGCAGTGCCTCAGGGGTCAGTGATCTTGAAAACATACCTAGAAATTTCAGTGACAGAATAGCTTTACAATGTATGGTGCACCTTGCACAAACTGTGGCACAAAATGTTGTTATGCATTCTTTTATTGATGAAGATAGTAAAAGTCTTACCTCAGTGGGGAAAACTGTGATAGCCATGTTATCAGTTGTCATTTACTAAAGGTTCCATGAGTTTTTATTGGTAACTAAACTTTTCAAATGGTTTAAAAACAATGGGCAGATAGCTAAAGAATAATTTAGATTCTGGGAGAGCATGGGAAGACAACCATCATATTTTGTCTGGAGATATGTTCAGTCTCTGTTGAATTTTCAAAGTTGTGGGTGTTTTCCTTTCCTTTAAATACCTAAAGTTTAGTTGGAAGTAAAGTATTCTGTGTGCAAATCTTTTTAAATTTCAGTGTAGGTAACATCTCTCTTTTGTTTTAGTTGGGATTTTCTTTGAAATTATTATTTTCTTATTTTTCCTTCAGACTTGTAGCTACAAACAAAAACCAGAGTATTACCACTGGCTTTTCTGCCAAGCCCAAAGGAAAAATAGACAATGCTGCAGGTATATGTAATTTAATATGTTTCTTTACTTGTAGTAGAATTAAAAAGTTCCATTGTTTAGCTTTGTCAATTACATTACATACAATGTACTCTGTAACTGAATTAGCATAACATCAGAAGCCTTGTGTCCTGATCATTGCAATTTACTGGTATGCTCTATAGGAGAAGCTTATTAACTATTTTTCTCTCTATTTTGACTTTTCTCCAGAATTTGTCCTTGCCACAATTGATGATATAGTGAACTGGGCTCGTAGAGTAAGATTGAATCAAATGATTTGTATAATTTCATGCTCAGGTATTGTGAATGCAATGAAAAGAATATGTTTCTTTGCCTTTTTACTTTCTTAAGGTGGCTATCAGCATCTTTGTAACAGAAAATTGTCATGCAAGTCCCCTACCATTGTAGTCACATGTGTATTTGATAGTTGATGTATTGATGTACATGTGCAATGTAGATGGTGCCACAGACTAAACTTAACAACTGCATATTTATTTCTGTAACAGCCACACATATATACTCTTTGCTTCGTATGTTATATCTTGAAAATATCCTTTCTTTTGTTTTCAGGGCTCCTTGTGGCCAATGACATTTGGTCTTGCCTGTTGTGCGGTGGAAATGATGCACTTTGCTGCTCCCAGGTATAAAGAAGATGGTTAAGTGTGATATAACTTCTAATAAGTACAGTAGTTATTTGATGCTAAGATCCTTATGAACTTTTCTTTAGGTATGACATGGATAGGTTTGGTGTTGTGTTTAGAGCAAGCCCTGTAAGTATATAGAAATTAAACACTGACAACATGTTCAATCATTTTAATAGTTCACTGCTTTGTACACTTGCTCTTAATTGACTCGTACTTGTATTATAACTTCTGCCATACATTGTTGATTGTGTACACATAGTTACTGTTAGTTTTTAAATAGAGGATATTACATGGCTGTGTGGGGATACAAATTTTATCTTCGAGCGCTGTATCTCTCATGAGTGAGTGAAGTGAATGAGTGAGAGATGTAACTTTCAGAACGAGAAGATAAAATTCGTATCCCCAGGTGGCCATGTAATGTTCTGTTTATTTTATAGATAATGGTGAAATTTCCACATGAAAACATGCAGAAATTTCCAAAGAACTGGGTGTGTGCCTGAGCAGGAAGCTCTCTTGTAATTGGCTGATCATGTTAGTAACCATGGTGACACCAATATCCTCACACGTGAAAGATAAAAATAGTATCTTCACTGTGTGCAATGAAGATATGATTTTTTAGTAAAGGAAAAATCCTGGTATTTCATCAGTATCTACATAGTAAGATATGATAAGAAATGGTGATTGAAGTACTCTAGCACATTCAAATTACAAAAAAAAAGAAACTCAGTCAATCCATGGGTGAGCACAACAACACAGATCGCATTTGAGTCAAGTCAAAATGTATCAGCACATTTTTCAGCCCTAAGCATATCTTGCAAATAATCTTTTTCACTCTGTTGCTGGAATTCTAGTGAAAGACTGTTGTGCCACAATTTTTCTCTGTTTGCTAAGAGCCCCTGATAAATGTAAAAAGTTATGTATTACCTGAAATACCTTGATGTGACCAGCAGTAGTTCATCAATGTATGTTCCTAAATCATACTTACCATTTTATAAACTGTTGTCTTGGGCAGCGTCAAGCGGATGTGATGATTGTGGCTGGAACTCTGACAAATAAAATGGCTCCTGCTTTGAGAAAGGTACATGCACAATAGATGCAAGAGTCCATAGCCTTAAAAAATATTTTGCAGCAGTTGTAGATACACTGTTCATGTATGTTATTTTCTTAGTTTTGTCTTTTGTCCTAGAAAATCTGTGAGAATTATGGTTACAAACATACACACAAAATGTATACAGCTTTCAAAATCTGAATGGTTGTCACCACAGCTGCAGCATAAGTAATTTTTACAACTTATTACTACACTAATTACTTAAGAATAGCAAAAGTGCTGGCTTAATCAAATTTTGTTGCAGAGAAACTTCAGTTAATTGATGCTCTCTACCTATATCCAAACCAAGTGACAAGTAACTGACTGTAGATAGTAGAATTGCCAGATGTGCTGTTACAACATACTGTACATGTAAATCCCAGGAGTTAACAAGGATCAGTAACTCACACAAGACCTGATTCTCATTTCAGGTCTATGACCAGATGCCTGAGCCTCGTTGGGTTATTTCAATGGGAAGGTATGATGTGACGTTTTTTTTCACTTTGGTTTGAATGGTTTTTATGTAACTATAACATTTTGGGGTTTTGGGGTGAGTCATTTGAAAGCATTATTTACCAAAATGTTAGCACACATTGAGTTGAAAATTAAGAGGTCTGATTTTTAGCTGCAGCAGGGTCATTGTTGTTTGTTCTTGGGCAGAATTCTTTGTAGAGCCAAGTCCATCTTGTGGATGAGATGCTAGTCTTTTGCAGACTACACCCACCCCACCCCCACCCCCCTTTTTTTCAGCACTTCCTCACACCTCCCTGACAGGTTGCTGCTTTCAATTCAATACTTTTGTTGGGGAGAGTCATTGTGGTAGTAAATTGTCTTATTCAGTGACACAGTCAGGTCTTCTTCCTGAAATCCAGTGGGCTAACTGTTAGATCACCATGTCTTTAAAGGAGTGTGAATGGTATACTTGTAACCTTTGGTGGACTTGTATCACATCCAGGGACAGATGCTGAACTCCTGCTTAAAGGCTCTTCATGCTGCAGAAACCTTGATTAGCTACTGTCACTGTATCATTCAGCCTGTCCATGCAGAGCTTAATCTTTTCGTGTCTCCATTTTTTGATAGTTTCTGTATTTGTTTCCTGTTCTGAACAGCTGTGCTAATGGGGGAGGTTACTATCACTATTCCTACTCGGTCGTCCGTGGCTGTGACAGGATAGTACCAGTAGATATTTACGTCCCAGGCTGCCCTCCCACAGCAGAGGCTCTGCTGTATGGAGTGCTACAGCTGCAGAAGAAAATTCGCCGTAGTGAGCCTATCAGAATGTGGTACCGCAAATGAGGTTAGTATAACTTAAAAAACCGCCTCCTGGTTAGCTCAATGGATAGAGCGCTGGACTGTTGTGCGGGAGGTCGAGGGTTCGAGCCCCGGCTGGACCAACACTCGGGGTCTTAAAAGAATTGAGAAGAATTTGCTGCCTTTATATAACATCAAGAAATGGTTAGATATTCTAGTCTTCTCGGATAGGGACGAATAAATGGAGGTCCCGTCTCCTGCAGGGTTGGGGTACGAGACATTAATTTCCCACACACGAGATTACTGTGTGATGGATGTCCTCCCCTGGGGTGGGATGGGTGGGTTTATTGGGCCCGCAGTAATTGGCGCAAGCTGTTGTGGTGTCCCTGTCGGTTGGCGAAGCTAAATGAATAAATAAATAAATAAACGTGCAATATTTCCATTGGAAGCCCGAAGATTTCCTTTCTTTATTTAATCTTTCTTTTAATTTTTGTTTTTGTTTTATTTTCTCTCTTTTACCCCAACATCGGTATGCATATTCTCCACACTGTTCTCTCTACATTTCCTAAGGTGCCGATAAGAAGAATTCAAGAGGTTTTTTAGTTGTTGATCATTTCCCATATTCTCGTGACCTTAATGTTTGATTCAGGGGTGATATTGTAAGGAGAAATTAGATGCTGGTCACTCTTTGGGGTCAAAGGGAGGTACCCGTCATCGATCAAATGAAATTCAAAGCCATTGTAATCGTCTAATCAAATCTAAATAATTATTGCATTCCACATTTTAATCAAATTTGCACCGATCATACATTATTTACATTAATTCTTATTTCTCCTTCTGTGGCAGGTTTACGCTACTTCCCGTTTTAATCCTTTGCTGTGTGGTTGTTGGTTCAAGATTCCTTTTTTTACTCTACATATAGGCACTTGTCGCTCATTATTTACAGACATTGATATTTCGCAAGTATTGCAACCATTTCCTGCCTTAATTTCCATATCACGGATAATGTGTAAGAGTTAACGAGCTTGAAATGGTTGATGTTGCATGTTACTGTCTTGCTGAAATAAGAAAGTCCTGATATTCCCGTTTGTGTGACTGGTAGAGTTGCATAAGATTAGGAGCTCTTTGTATGGTGTATCAATCCTCGGAGGAAAGGTAAAGTAAATGATACGAAAGCTTTTTTGTTTGACTTGTGTTTTATTTGAATCGTTTTCGGAACGGCGTTCTTCGTGTTTTTCTACAATGTATTCTTGGTTGCTTGAAGGAAAGAATCTGACTAAAAGGCAGGGAAATTGAAGCCACAAAAATGTTTGAAACTACTGGTCTAATACCAATGAAAGCTGGAAGGAACGTTTCTGATAACATAATAATAATAATAATTTTATTATTTCTATAGCGCAAAATCCATTAGATATATGATCTAATGCGCTTAATAACTTAATTGAAAGATATTTTTCATCAAAGAAGAAATAACTTTTTCGCATTTTCCATTGTTTTTTTTTGTTTTTTTTTTGAGGTCCTCTAATGATGTCGTGAGTTTGCAGTGCACATTTCTAGGTCTTTCTAATAGTGCGTGCATTTTGCTGGAAGTGTCCAGCGTTTCCTGTATGGCTCAGGAAGGATGTTGAGGGAGATCTTTCTTTTTACAGTAAATGACCTGCTTTAAGATTTAAGAAAAGATATTTTATCCATCAAGTACGTGGGAAATATATACCAGCTCTTAAATAAACACCTTTCATCGGTAATCAAGCAAAGTTTTATTCAGCCAGGTGTTGACTCGGCCGGGAAAATGTAATTTAAATTAAAGAAAAAAACTAGACGGATTTGCATGAATTCTGCATGATTTTTCGAAGCATTTTGCATACTTCCAGTCATTCGCACCTTCGTAATTACAAACAATTTTACATCGTCTTTTCTCTGATAATACTAGTTGCTCCGCCTACAGCTTTTAAGTGCTATTTTTGTGGGCCGTACGCGTTCTTTCCTTGAGGATGTTTTTTCCTCAATTCCAGTCGCCAATTTGGAGAGAGGTACAATTCTGTCCTTTACTGTGGCGATCTTGAAGGCACGCAATGACCAGAGAGGCCAGATGTTTGGTTGTGAAAAGCGCCATCCAATTTGCTGTTCTTAACCGATGGGGATATTCTTCTGATTCCAGGTCGCCATTTTGGAAAAAAAAAAAAAGTACTAACTCTTCCCTCTAGCGTGGTGATCTTAAAGGCACGCATTGAAGAGCGTTATCCAGTTTGCTGTTCTTAGCCAGTGAAGATTTTCTACTGATGCCAAGCATCATAAACCTCAGTCCTTTGCGGAAACTGGGAAGGCGCCATGCATACAAGAATGGGTTGATGGCGGAATTACAGATGACGCAGAGAAATGATGTGTCCCTCAACCAGTGGATTGCCTCGCACGAGCAGTTTGTACATAAATTCATGATGTAAATCAGAAGGCAGGGTGTTGCGTAGCAGATCGCAAAAAGAATCAGGATCCAAGTGAACGTGAAAGTCACTTTTTCCTCGAATAATGTTGCTTTCTGATTTGCAAAGCAGAATCCTCGCATTGTTTCCTGCCGAAGTTTTTTCCTACTTTGAATGGTCTTGATGATTTTGAAATAAGCGTAAAGAAGAATGCCCAGAGTTACCAAAATCACCACGTTGGCAAATAGAAACGAATAGGTGCGGTAGCCCACGGCGAAATAAGGACTTAAAAACCCGGGCGACAAAATCCATATCATTCCCGAAGCCTTGATCACTCTGAAATGGTTCACGCTTCGTCTGTACCTTAAGGGTTTTGCGATCGCGAAGAATCGTTCAAGGGTAAGTGCCATGATGCTTAGAACGGAGACAGTGCAAGGCAGAAAGTACAGCAAATGGAATAACCTAACAAAGCTTGGCGAAGAAACTTCTCTAGCTTCCATGAGGTGGTACACCACTGACATCGGTTCTGTTGTTATTCCGACAAGAACGTCGGTTATGGCGAGGTTGAGGATGAAATACGTGAATGGCGTGCGCAGGTTTTTAAATTGCGGCGGACTTCTGAGAATTACAAGGCACACCAGAACGTTGCAAGGAACAGTCACGACTGCTAAAAGTGCAGATGTAGCGGCAGTGAACAAAGACAGTGAAGTAGGTGGTGGAACCGCCAAACATTTGTCTTGACCTTCCGTCGCAACCATGGTCGTCGAATTAGTCCAAAGCTTTTAACTTGACAACTTTTAAGTTGTCAAATTTGCTTCCAGTCGTGCTAGTTTTATGAAAACCCTTTTTTTCTTTGTCTTTAACGGGTTGTTTACTCAGTCCTGAAGGTAAAAGAAAATAGAGTGTATTTTGATAGTGCGTTTCCGTTATAAGAGGCGTTTTTTTTTGTCGCCAATGCAGAATCAGATCCATATCCTGATATCTCATTTAATAAAAGCAGGCTTGTGCCCCGGAGGTACTCTATCTCATGGGCTTAAAACAGCAAATATGTATTTCCCTGAGAAGACCTGTCTAAAAATTGCGATTCGAAATTTACACGTCTCTTCAAACACGTTATAATAAACGTCTCAAACTTCAAAGGCAGTCGTTTATGCTAAAATTGACACTTTGACGCCTGCAAGAAATTTCAAATAAAGTATTTCTTTACAATTTCGATAATGGTAATTAATACAAATGCGTTCTGGTAAGTTTCACCGTCAGAGTATTCTAAAATTATATTTTGATTTAAATCTCTCTTCGTTCGAAAACGTGCAACAAAACGTGTTTCACAAAATTGTCTTTAGAAGGGGTTGACTAAATAAAGAAGAGAACCTCATGACGATTCGATTCCATCAGCTTCGGCCAATTAAACTGAAAACTTTTAAGTTATTAAAGTGACTGGCGAACGTGATGCCAGCTCCTCAACTTACCTCGTTCCAATTAAAACCTTTTTAATTGAGATCGAGCTAAAATTTCAAATATCCTTCCTTTAATTATAAAACGTTTTCTGCTCGTGAGTATTCTGAAAGTTTGCTTTTCGAGCTCAAATACCTGGTGAATGTTTGTGGTTTAAGAAAAGAAGTTTCCGACTGACGAAAATCTGTGAAAATTTAAGTGATATCTGACGTCTCAGACAAAACTATACGTTGTAAGTCTGAAGGAGTCCTTCATGGCACTTTCAGTCATGTTTGGGTTGCACAATAAAAAATTCAGTTTAATGTGAACCTTAAAATAATTGTTCTTTGAGGAGAAAAAAAGAGAAAGAAAGGTGGTTAAAGTGCAAATATTCGACATTCTTTAAAACATATTTTGACAGTTCTGTCATCTTCAGTTATAATTTTACACAATTCGTCTCTACTTTGTATAAATTAGAACCGAAGATGACAGAAAAACTGTCGAAACAGGTTTTTAAAAAATATCATTTATTTTCTTGAATTTGTGACAATTGCGCAGACTCAGTAGCCTCTTTGTTAGCATCTGGTTCAAGAGGCACGTATCGTGACGCAACAAGGTCAAGCTTTCATTCACGCTCACCGTTATCAACTTATCTTACATTTGCTTCATTAAATTTCTAGAATAGCATTTCCCTAGGAGATAGATGTTGACGCGATTAGAAACGAATTTGATTTAATAGAACTGCTTTAGTTAATATGTCCTTGCCCTAATTTATTTCAAAAGTGAGGAGGGCTGACAAGTCATTTGAATGCAGCTGCTCTTGTCGTAAAAGTTTTTTGTAGCACTTCTTTGCCACCAAAACTTCTAAATCATCGGGTAAATCTTTCGAAAAACGAATGAATCCTCACTTACCTATGGAATGAAACCGTCATTGACCTTACAAACCTGTGATCAGTACTCTCGGCCCAAAAGCTGTCTTACAGTAATCGTAGCAAAAATAACCCCGAATCCCTTTTGATGATTTTTGAGTGCAGGTCGTGGAAATATTGTAGGAATTATATATCGCTTATTGATTTGAAGACTTAAGAAAATGTTTTTCTAGACAAGTTTAATGGGAACGTGGGTGGCAAAATTTTGCACTCAGACTTCATTGATCTAAGATATGACATCCAATAAATTCCATCACGTTTTTTCTAGAAATACCGCCTATTTTGCCCCACAAACATTTTTTTTGTGATCGACCCGTGAAACGTTGCTGCGAGGGCCTTACTTTACATTGTAAATTTCGTGTACTGGTAAACAAGCTATAGTTTGTTTACCAGTGCAAGGAAAATGCAGTATGAAAATTATGCCTTGTGTTTCCTTGCCAAAGTTGGTGCCTCACGATAAGCTGATAAACTACTTTAAAAAAATCGACTTTAATGAAAACATTATTGACATGGCCCCTGAATTTTGCTTGGGTTTACCCAATTGCGAAGAAGTGAATGGAGCTTATCGCCGGGGAACCAGAGGAATTTGTTTTAAAGCTTGCTGAAATGTTTATTGTGATTGATCAAGCTATTGGGTCAAAATCATTCTTTTACCACTTGGGTAGTGACGAATATCACTTTATGCTTGCCATAGGGGCAGATGGGGCCCCTTTTGGCAAAGATCGGATGAAGCAAGAGCATGGTTAATTTCTTGTTTAAATGTGGCTAGCCACATTGCAAGTCCCAATCAAAATTTTCTTATTGCTGGTGCAAATTGTAGCGAAACTCAAGTGTGCATGCAAAGGTATGCTAGGAAATTAGTTAATGATATGAACAGCATCACAAGCAAAATTTACAAAGTCATGGATTTTGATGTTAAGTTTTCGTTTGAGCTTCTCCCTCAGACATGAAGTGGCTAGCATTCAAGGGGGGAGAGTTGTCTAATGCAGCATTTTACTTCTCCCCATTTGGGAATGTCAATGATGACACAAAATCTACTGTCAATGGGACCCTGGGTAAGGGTGGCGAAAACACTTAGCAGCCATGGTCTTCTGACAAGCGCCTCGAGATGGCTGAAGAAGTTTCAAATTTAAAGCAGCAATTTCAGGAAAAAAAACTAGGCTGCGTCCACTAAACGACAAAGGGTGTTGGATTTTATTAGAGATCAGAAATCGAGGAAGAGTTCGAGCCTCTCTTAGGTCCCATGATTGATGTTGGTTATGCCGAACCTTTGCATAATGCTCCAGTCAATTGAAACCCCGGCCCCCCGAACCCCGGTGCATAGCGGAGGAGTAACGGGGGTATGGGCGTGGAAAAACGTTATTGTAACAAAGTGTTCTCTCGAGGGGATGGGGCCAGTAACGCTTTTGCCGATTTGCCGGGAATTTGGAGCGGGGCTTGTAACGCCAGACCCGAATAGGGAATAGGGCCGAAGTAACAAAAATTATGCTTCAAGATGGAGAAATCGACTGTACAACTCAGGAATAAATATTTTATTGCCTAATTCATCAGGGATTATTTCCATATTTGTTTCCTCAAGAATGAATAATTTATGCGTCTTGATGTAGCGATTACTAATGAATATTCAATCGGAATCGCTTTAGGAACACAAACGTAAACTTACGTACGATTTACATGGTGAGCTTCAGCCCTTGCTTGGTATCTTAGGCAGGAATTTCAAGCAGATAATTTTCGATGTTAATGTGAATGAAAACTTATTTAACACTTACAAACTCCAGAGCTGAACCGGTTAAATGCATTCACAAGATACTGTGCTTTGCTTTCAGTTAAATAAATGTGTGCTGAGGAATGCCATTCCAGTTGAAGTGACCATATCTTGCCTTAAAAGTAATTTTTTCCAAGGTCTTAGAGTAATGGAAATGAGCTGGGTGGTCTACCTCAACAATGATTGTCCTGTACGAGCTATCCTTCTCCTTCCTAACGAGCACATCAGTTGTAGGTATCGACAGTTTGTACTTGTTCGCAAGTAAAGTAAATAAATGGCGAAATTTGTCACGATGGGTTATCTGTAATTCTGCAACACATTGATTATTCTTGACGACAGCTCCGCCATTTTCTTTCAACTTTTCAACTTAATTTTAATCAGACATGACATGACACTTAACATAATGACGCACTACCCACAAATAGCAGAGCTAGTCTCGGCGGGCAGTGTGTGGACGCTAAAACATCTTAAATAAATTTCGGCTCAACAAAAGATTCAA